ATATATCATACACACTCTCACTACGGTGTTATTGAAGGGTTATTAGTGTCCATTATTTCATTGATTTGGAATAACATAATTCTTTTGGCAAGAACTGTCTTTCCATCTTTGTTTTATAAAAGCAATAACAGAAAGACGAAGTGCTCTCCAGTGAAAACTTTCTCTTTGCATGTTGCCTCCTGTTTTTAATAATCCTGTCCTCGATTGTCCCTGCAGACAGTCCGTGGAGCCGGACACTATGTATACGCCGACCAGCCAGAGGACTTCAACCACAGAGTTGTGCAAGCGTTGGATAAAGTGGACTAAAGCAGACACAAGGCTGGTTACTGAACTTTGGACAAAAAAGGGGAGCACAAATAACAGACTTGACTTTAGCTGCCACTATAGAAACACAGGATTCCACGCCCTCAAAGCAGGAACAAGAAGTCTATTTTTATATCATGTGAAATACTTCAAGTGTGAATTGAGCTTTATTTTTGTGAAGGAATACAATTAGACTCTAATATGACATAATGATATTATATTTAGTTACATATTAAATCATATCATGCTGAAACAGAATCAGTGTCACTGCATTTAGAAAGCTTGCTGACAGAGTCATGTGTAAGGTATTTCATGTGAAGTGCCTGAGCTGTGCTTTGTGATTTTTCCATATGATATCAGATACAGACAGGAAGCACACTCTTTATTACATCACTGCATCAGCATCGGGAAGCAGTTATAGATTTATCTGCAGTCAGTAATTATTTCAAAGAGTCTGTCCTATGGCCTCTAGTTTCCCGGCGCAGCGCAGGGTGGCGCAGGGTGGTGAACCCTGCGCAGAGCTAGTTTCGAGAAGCGCAACCCGAGGTGCGCTCAGTTTGGTAGTTTGGCAGACCGTGGTGCGCTGAGAATGGTGTGGCGGCGCAGCAGGGGGAGGTGTCGTCAGATCCAGCTTGGCACAGTGAGGCTTTCGTGCCAAAAGGCTTCGCCGAAGGTGCGCTAAAAGCTCGCCAGCTGAAACCAGGTCTACTGTCAGCGCAGGCGGAGCGCAGCCGGTGTAAGTGGAAGTTTGGCTGACCGGCGGACAGCGCGCACACATCACCAAAACCTCAGAGGCAGGTTTCCAGAATATCAGGCACATTAACAATGCAATAAATAGCCAAAAAACCACTATTCAATGCAACTATCTTCAATCAGCACATAAATGTATCTCTATATCGACTGTCCCGTCACATCTAATGTCAGATCAAAGGGGATTGGCACCGTTTGGCACGTTTGGCATGTTTGGCACGCGTAATGGAAACCCAACCTGATTTGATTAACACAGCCTGCAAACTATGAGTTCACATCCCTCTCAGCCAACCACAAACAGCCACAGCATCAGATAGGGAGTATATATTCAGCATCTGTCATCTTAGAAAAGTCAAAAAAAAAACAGAGTGAGACTGCGGGAGAGAAAGAGAGAGCGTGCGCGCACGAGAGAAACGCTCGTACCCCTTTTTCATTACACAGGAACAAATTACATCTACACCACGAGGTGGTCCAAGTGGTGACGCTCACCCTGGTGGCACCTGTGCTCAACCTGTTGCTGTAAAGGTGACAGTGGCTCTGACCTTCTTCGCCGCCGGGTCTTTCCAGCACACCGTGGCCGCGGTGGCGGGGATCAGTGAGAGAGCTGTCAGTTCGGTTATACATGCAGTGACGTCTTGTCTCGTCCGATATGCAAATGAGCACATCATTTATTTTTATTACCGTTTTTTGCACTGGGCAACGGCAGCGCGCAGGGTGTGCCAAACTTGCAAAATCTGCCTGGCCACACCCAGTTGGCGAAGCGCAGGTGTGCTGCGCCTCTGTCTTGCCCGGTCTGCGAAACTAGAGGCCAGAATTCTCAAAACTTGAAGCTGAAAGGTAATGCAAATGGTTGGTAAACCAGTAAGAGTAAGAATGCTGGGTCCAAAAGTGCGACTTGTATGGATCATATATTTGCAAATTGTATTCATTTATTTTCAAATGCTATGTCAATTCCAGTGGGGTGCACTGATCATAATTTAGTGGTGCTTGTAAGAAAGACAGAGGCAGAAGCAGAACCTAGAATAGTTCTCAGGAGATAAGTTAAAACATTTTGAGAAGAACCATTTGTAGATGATGTTAAAAATATATGTAGGGAATAGGTACCAGAGAGGGATAGTCCAGAGGAGGCTATATGTAAGTACGTATTAACCAAAAAGAAAAAGCAACTGAATTATGGAAATAAATTTTAAAGATGTGAAGAATGACAAAAAAGCTGTGGAGTTTAGTAATTGGCATAATGGGTTCTAATCCTGCCTAACATATCTTAAAGTGGAGGGGGACTTCTAGACTAAAACAGTTCAAATTGCTAATTCAGTTATTGTTTTTATGATAAGGTCAACAATTTTAGGAACAATATGCATAAAACAAGTAACCCCACGATACTAATTAAAGATTTAATAACAAAGAATACAAATAGGCCTATGTGTAAATTTAAAGCTGTAAAAGTTAAAAGATGTTGAATGTCTGCTTCAGAAATGCAAAGTCAGACCACCAAGTGTAGATCATTTAGATTTTAAATTTCTTAGAATTGCTGCCAATGTTATTGCTGCTCTGGTCTGTCATATCAATAATCTGAGTATTGAAAAGTGTATTTGTCTACGGGCATGGAACATAGCAAAGGTTAATCTACTTGTAAAAAATCCAGCTGCATAATCTAACAGCCCTATAAGTTTTTTTTTTTACCAGCTTTAGGAAAAGTAATTTAGAGAATTATTTTTGATCAAACTGAGCATAGCGTTAGTTCAGGCAGGACACAATGTCAAGCTTAGCTCATATCCCAGCTACATCAGCTGATATCAAGCAGCCCAATCAACTGACAGATCAGCTGATCGATGGAAGGGAATCAGCTGATGGATCAAATGATTCCTTTCTATGCAACCATGTGACAAATCTAATTCAGGGCACTATTTAAATTGCTTTGGCTTGCCTACTGTTCCTGATTCCTCTGTAAGCCACTTTGCAACCCGCCTCCACCCCAGTTCCTCCTTTTCATGTTTTGTCTGACTTATCAGTGTCATTTCTGTTTGTCATTTATGCTGCTCTGTTCTGTTCCCAGGGGGACTAAGCTGTAGCCTCAGCGGTAGACCGGCAGCTCCTGTGTTCACACGTTATAAGCTAGGCACGCATGCGTGGCGTCTGTGACTCTCCGTCAGCTCGCGTCCGTAAAATCTAGTGTTTTTATCTAGTTTTACACCACTTTTTATATACTACATTTCTATTATTGGTTGGTTTAAGCTTATTCCTCAACTGGATGACGGATTTTAACTTTTCCGATTTGTGATTCGACGAAATTTGTGAAGAGAAGTATACCTGACAGCGTGGGAAAATCTGATCAGCTGGCGGTCTGACATCTAGGCCGAACCGATCTGCCAGAACATCTCTCTAAACCGATATCATCTTCAATTCAACAGCTAATAAAGAAGACTGACTTACCAGATCGATTCACCAGCAGCGGGCCCGTTTCGGGCCCTTGGTGCTCCACCGATGGCTCCCGCTGCAGAGTTCGCGAAATTAAAAACTGAGCTCCAGTCCATAGAGCGCCTTATTGATGAGCTCCTACAGCGGCAGTCTGTGCTGTGCTCCCGGCTGTCATCGCTGGAACCTGGGGATACTCAGCTGTCCCAGATGTCTAACGCAGTGGCGGCTTCTGCTCCTTTTCCTGGCTCAGTTTCCACTTCATCCGTAGCCTGCCTGGAGCCTGTGGTCAACCTGCGGCCCTCGGCTCCACATCCTGCAGACACCGCTACTGGCACTCCCGGTCCAAGCTCCACTCCCTCCTGGTCGTTCGTTGTCAGGGGAGGTAAAAAGCTGTCTCTCCCCCTCTATGACTCTCCTGGCATCATCGGCAGCAACGATAGTATCCCACTCACAAACTTTTTCAATTTCAATTTTATTTATAAAGCCCAATATCACAAATCACAATTTGCCTCACAGGGCTTTACAGCATACGACATCCCTCTGTCCTTATGACCCTCACAGCGGATAAGAAAAAACTCCCCAAAAAAACACTTTAACGGGGAAAAAAATGGTAGAAACCTCAGGAAGAGCAACTGAGGAGGGATCCCTCTTCCAGGACGACAGACGTGCAATAGATGTCGTACAGAACAGATCAGCATAATAAATTAACAGTAATCCGTATGACACAATGAGACAGAGAGAGAGACAGAGACAGAGAGAGAGAGAGACAGAGAGAGATGCAGGACAGACGGTAATAACAGTAGCTTACAACAACATTATTGAAAGTAATAATATTCTAGTTATAGTTCTGGCTACTGTGGTACAATATGTTGAAAGTATGTATTAATATCTGGCAGTATACATGTATGACAATAGTCATATGTGTATAATAACAGTACAAGTATGACTAATGCATCCCTTCCCCCCGAGCCGGTTTCTCCGCCGCTTGCTCGCAGTGCAGCTCGGGTCCGAAAGCGCTCCTCTCCCATCACCCTGCCCCTGAACTCGCCGTCTTCTCCGTCGGCTCCCCCGGGATGCAAACGGTCCCGTTTATCACCCTCACAGGCCAAGAAACAGTCTTCCCCGAACTCTGTTCACACGCAGTCCAGTCCTTCGTCCTCACAGCCACCTCACCTGCTCATTAGCGCACGAGCTGCAGCTGTGGTCACTGGTGACGTCATCCCAGACAGCGTCTCAACAGGTGATCCTACACAGACCTCCCTCACTAGCATTCAGACACACTTCTCACCCAAACTTTCCGTCTATAAAGGCAACTGTAAGGATCCTGAAATACTCATTATAGGTGACTCCATTTTTAGATCAGTTTCTCTCCCAGGTGCATTCACATACTGCCTTTCTGGTGGTAGAGTTGCAGATATGATTGAGTTAGCCCCAGCACTTTTCGATCTCCATCCTTCTGCTCACACTGCAATATTCCACGTCTGTACTAATGATGTCTTAGACAGAAAATCAATTATACTCCATGACCTCCTAGAGTCACTGGCAGTTACTGTTCAGAGCCTTGGAAAAATCTGTGTTTTCTCTGGCCCCATCCCTGCTCCCTCTAAGAGCTGAGAGCATTTCAGCCGTCTAGTCCATATTCACGACTGGTTAAAAACCTTTTGCACCGCAACAGGACATGGTTTTATCAGCAACTTTGACTGCTTCTGGACCAAACCTGACCTCTATAAGACTGATGGCCTTCACCCCAACATTAAAGGCACCGATCTGCTTGCTCATAACTACATAAAGCACATTGCTTTCTGCTTGGCTGACAGACCTAAGTGTTCTGCAAGCACCCTTAAATTTGCACTTCTCAATGTTAGATCAATTTCTAATAAAACTTTCATTATTCATGACTTTATAACCTCTCACATCTCGACTGCATTCTCCTTACTGAGACGTGGCTTGATGAAACCGGTAACATAGAGTTGATTGAAGCATGTCCACCTAATCTTCATTTTTACATTGTCCCAGGGTTGAAAAGAAGGGTGGTGGTGTTGCTGCCATTTTTTCAGACAACTTATCATGCAAAAACATCCTGTC